CAAAAATATTATAATAATAATAATAATAATAATAATAATAATAATAATAATAATAATAATAATATTATTATTATTATTATTATTATTATTATTATTATTAGATGTTGCTTATTTTAGGTATTTTGGGGAGATGAATGATGTAGGGTTCAACGGGGTGATGTTTGTTTGTTTGTTTGTCTATTTGTTTGTTTGTTTGTTTGTTTGTTTGTTTGTTTGTTCGTTTCTTTGTTTGTTTCTTTGTTTCTTTGTTTGTTTCTTTGTTTGTTTGTTTGCCTTGTCTGTTTGTTTTACTGTATATGCCTTTAGTGTGCATCTATTAAATATAGTTATTATGAGTCTAGATTATTAGTATTTAACATAGTTATTATATTTTAAATTATATTAATTTTAAATTATATTAATTTAAATCGACAGTGTTGTGCTGTTCATATTGCAGGTAGAGACAATGTACAGATATTTAGCGTATAGTGGTTTAGGAATTAGGGTTTAGGGTTTAGGGTTTGGGGTGTCTGCGCAGGGTTTGCTCAAAAGGCGTTTTGCCCGCGAATGGCAGCAATGAACAAACCTACATTTGATGCAATGATGACGCATGCAGTCGTAGAGGGCCCTGGAGACAGTCTCCTTGGGGAGAACCAGGGGGTGTACAGCACAGGCGGTTCCAGTAGTGCTGCTACTGCTCCTCCTCCTGCTGCTGCTCCAGCTGCTGCTCCTGCTGCTGCTGCTGCTGCAGCAGCAAGGCTGAGGCCCGTGCTTGTCTTCGTAGCCTCCAGGAGACAGACCCGACTCACTGCTCGTGAGTTAATTGCTCTGCAGCACATGCATGATGGTAGCGTCGCTTTTCTTTGTCTACACACTGAGGAGCAGCAAACGGAGTTCGCTAAGGCGCTCAAACAAGTCAAAGTAAGCCCCCAAACCCTAAACCCTAAACCCCACCACGGACCAGCTCTAGATGCCTTCTCTGCTTCCACTCACTTCCTTCAGTAGACTGCCCTCCCGTTGGGGGGCTGTCAGCAGCGGTTATAGATCTAGGGATTAGGGTTTAGGGTTTAGGGTTTGGGATTTAGGGTGTAGAGTCTTTGGCTTGGTGTTTAGGGTTTAGAATTTGCGGTGGAGGACGGGGGTGAGGTGTTTTGGTGACGGTATTAAAAGGTTTGGTGCCTAGGGTTTAGGGTTTAGGGTTTAGGGTTTAGGGTTTAGGGTTTGTGTGCATGCAGGACTCGACTCTGCGTTCGGTGCTGCTGCACGGGGTGGCGATACACCACGCGGGGTTGGCGCCTTCAGATCGAAACATCGCTGCACATCTTTTTTCTCTCGGCTGTGTTCGGGTCTTAGTCGCTTCAGCAACTCTTGCCTGGGGTCTTAACTTACCCGCAAGACTCGTCGTCATCAAGGTATGTGCATGCATGCATGCACATGCATCCATCCATGCATACATGCATGCACTTGTGCATGCATGCATGCATGCACTTGTGCATGCGCACTTGCCTCAAACGTCCTTGCGTTCGGCTTGCAAAGCCCCTCTAAGAAGTGGTGCAGTCACCGAAGTTACCGACCGTCCTTAGAAGGCCAAGGTCTCATTCCTTATCTGTCCACAGTCTGCGCATGCACAAGTGCATGCGCAAGTGCATGCACTTGTGCATGCATGCATGGATGCACAAGTCAATGCATGCATGTCGTAACCCCCTCAGTGGCTGCAGGCACCAATGGTGAACGCTGCGTGTTTGAAGTGTAAATTTTAAGGGAGTTCATGCTACTGCTTAGGATCTGGCCTTGAGGGTTTAGGGTTTAGGGTTTAGGGTTCTGGCAGCAATAGCTCGAGGCCGTGCTTTCTGCTGCCGCCGTTGCTGCAGCAGCAGTACAAGCAGCAGCAGCAGAAGCAGCAGCAAAGGCAGCAGCAGCAAAGGATGAAGTTGGCGTTTGTCTTGTGCTGCTGCAGGGGACAGAATACTTTGATGGTAAAACAAAGCGCTATACAGACATGCCCGTCACTGACATCCTGCAGGTAAGCTCAACTCACTCGCATGCAGTGCTGAGGCTGCCTGTACACCTCAAGTTCCTGCCCAGTGAACGCATGCACGCGCATTCTTGCATGTATGCATGCATGTATGCATGCACGTTCACCACAGTGCATGCGCATACCTTGCTGGAAGGGCTCATGCATGCACGGAAGCACGGGGCTGCGAAGACACTGGTGCATGCATGCATCCATGTGCATGCATCCATGTATGCGCCAGTGTCTTCGCGACCCCGCATGCATGCATGCACGCATGCACAGGCTTTCAGTCAGGCATGCAAGCATGCATGCATTTGTGCATGCGTGCACAGATTCAAGAGTGTGTGTACATGTTTGTGTTTGTGTGTTTGTTCAGATGATTGGTCGCGCTGGGCGTCCTCAGTTTGACAGAGAGGCGGTGGCTGTGGTGTTATGTCAGGAAAGTAAAAAAGGGTTTTTAAAACGCTTTCTTTATTCTCCTTTTCCTGTTGAGTCTTGCCTTCACCTTTGTCTTCCGGAGCATCTCAATGCAGAGATCGTAGCTGGCACTATTCAAACCAAAAGCATGGCCGTCGATTACCTCAGCTGGACCTACTTCTTCAGGTACATCTTAGGGTTTAGGGTTTAGGGTTTAGGGTTTAAGGCGGTCACGGCGCTGTTGGTGTTTCGGGTTGCAGGCGGAGCGCTTACGGGCTGCCGTTGGGGGTTTGCCTGAGACTGTCTAGGGTTTAGGGTTTAGGGTTTAGGGTTTAGGGTTTGGGGTTGTTTATCAGGCGCTTGGCAGCGAATCCTGGGTACTACAGCTCGGAGTTGTTAGCTGAGGATTGCCGAGGGGGTGGCGCTGCAGCAGCAGAGCGGCGTCGGGCCTTTATAGCAAAGTTTGTAGACAGGCTTGTGAATTCTTCGTTAGATACTCTACTAGAGCTAGGGTGCATTTCGTTGCGTATGCCGGAGCCCTGGGAGCTGCCAGACGCAGCAGAAGCAGCAGCAACAGCAGCAGCAGCAGACGGAAAGGCGGCAGCAGCTGAGGGCCAGGAACCACCTCTCACGGGCTTCCGTCTCGTGCTGCAGCAGCAGCAGAAGGAGAAGGAGCAGCAGCGTCTATTTGAACCCATTATAGAGCCCACTGCTCTAGGAAGAATTGCTTCTTTTTATTACATAAACCCCAAGACAGCGAAACTAATTAAAGACAAAATGCAGCCAGAGGGGCCCCCCCTCTCCTTTATCGACATTCTAAGGCTCCTCACGGACTCAGAGGAATTCAGTCAAATGCCACTGAGGTCATGCTGCACACATTGCTGCTGCTGTTGCTGCTGCTGCTGCTGCTGCTGCTGTGAAAAATGTTGCTGTGAAGAGTGCTGCTGTTGTTGCTACTGCTGGTGCTGTTGGTGATGCGAGAAGTGCTGCTGTTGCTGCAGCAAGGCGGGTTACTGCTGTTGCTAATGCCGAATGTGCTGCCTTTGCGGGTATCGCTGCAGCTGCATGTGCTTCTGCTGTTGCTGCTGCTGCTTGTGTTGCTGGTGCTGCAGACACAACGAGGAGATTCACAACGCGCAGCTTGCTCGCATCTGTCCCTTACCCGTAGTGGGGGACAGCTACGATAGCCCTCATACAAAGACATTTTTGCTCCTGCAGGCTCGTTTGTTCAAGCGGCCTCTTCCTGTCACTGACTACTTAACTGACCTCAAGAGCGCGATGGACAACTCCATGCGTGTTATACAGGTCTTGCTGCTGCTGCTGCTCTTGCTGCTGCTGCTGGGTGCTGGGGCTGTCTGCTGCTGCTGCTGCTGGGCTGCTGAAGGTCTCGTCAGAGTGGTGCTGCAGCAGCAAGAGGCCGTGCTGCTGTTGCTGCTGCTGGGGGTGTTTTGCTAGGCCTCTTTGGATATGTTGAATAATAATATTAGTGCCGATGTTTATAATATATATATATATATATATATATATATTTATATTTTTTACTATATACATATGTGCATACCCATGTGTATATATGAATATGTGCATGGATATGCATGGGGATATACATATGTGTGTATGTATGCATGCGTAATCTGTGTATGTGTCTATACGTGTGTATGCATATATATATATATATATATATATATACATATATATATATATATATATTGTCGGTAGAGACACTCTGAGGCGACGCATGTGGGGTTTGGCGAGGCGAGGGTTCAGCCACCCAGTCTTTCTAATTAGGGTTTAGGGTTTAGGGTTTAGGTTTTATTGTATCTCTTTTTACAGGCCATGATTGACGTGGCAGCTGAGGAGGCGCAGCTGCAGTACGCGCTGTACACCATCCTGCTGCTGCAGTGTATACGCAGCTCTACGCATCCTGCACGCAGCAGTCTCTTCTGTCTTCCTCACATAACAGACGCAGCAGAAGCAGCGCTACAACAACAAGGAATCCTCTCCCTTGCCCACGTGAGCCCTGCTTTTGGCTTAGGGTTTAGGGTTTAGGGTTTAGGGTTTAGGGCTTAGGGTTTAGGGTTTAGGGCTTAGGGTTTAGGCTTTGGGCTTAGGCTCAAAGGAGTCGTGGATGATACGTCTGAAGCATGCAGAGTAAAACTGCACGGGCTGAGGGAGAGCTTTGGGTCCAGGGTTTAGGGTTTGGGGTTTTAGGGTCTAGGGTTTAGGGTTTTGTTGTCTCTCAGCTACTGGAGAACAAATCTGCGTCCCTCGCTTTAACTCGTGCTGGGCTGCAGCCAAGAGAAAGAGACGAAGTTTTGGCTTCTCTCTCTCGCATCCCTCGCATGCGCATGAGGTGGTTTCTTTTTGCTGCGGCAGCACCAGCAAACGCTGCTGCAACAGAAGCAACCGCAGCAGCAGATGCAGCAGATGCAGAAGCAGAACAGGAAGATGTCACCTTTACTCGCTTTGAACCCCAGGTTATCCGGGGACCCGACGGTACTTAGTGCCACTATTACTACTCTTACTAGTGCTGCTGTTGCTGCTGCTGTTGCTGCTGATCTCCTGCTGGCCCCTGGTGCTGCAGTTATGGCTGTGCACTAGCAAAATCATCTCGGTTAGCTTCTTCAGCTACTGCTGCTGCTGCTGCGTCTGCTGCTGTTTTCTTTAGGGGAGCCCACACGGGCTTATTTAGTTCCTGCAGGAGCGGATTTGCAGCTGGAGATACACCTGAGGGACTTGGGCCCTGTTGCAGGAGGGGCCTCCAACGGCAAGGCAGCAAACCCTGCCCCTCGGTCTAGCTGGTAGGGTTTAGGGTGTAGGGTTTAGGGTTTGAAGGATAGAGGCAATACAGCTTCCTTGTACCGGTATTTGTCGCAGTGTTGTATTGAGGGTTTTGTCTCAGAACGCGAGTTTTCACCTTGTTAAGGGTTTAGAGTTTGTGCTTTTAGGAGCTTGGGGTTTAGGGTTTAGGGTTTAGGGCTTAGGGTTTAGGGTTTGCTCTCGTGTGCAGGTTTGTTATTCTGGGAGACCCTGATGAGGCAGCAGATGAGTTGGTGGCGCTGCGCCGCGTGCGGATGCGTCCCTTCGGGCGCAGCAAATTAACACTTGAGTTCGTCTATTAGGGATTAGGGTTTAGGGTTTAGGGTTTAGTGTTTGGGGTTTGGGGCTCATCAGGATTGTTCTTCCTCGCAGGAAGGTTTACGATTTAGGGTTTAGGGTTTAGGTTTAGGGTTTAGGGTTTGCTGTACCTATTGCTCTCAGGTTTTCTGCACCGGAAGAGAAGGAGGAGATCTTCTCTCTTTCTCTTTATTTATGCAGCGACGCCTACATCGGCATAGATCAAGAAGATGTCTTGACATTTAAAACATACTAAACACCAAAACCCCGAGGAGGGGGCCCCCCTCGCGGGGGCCCCTTTTTGGGGGCCCCTTCTTGGGGGCTCAATCTTGGGGGCCCCTCTTTAAGGGCCCCTTCTTAAAGACCCCTTCTTGGGGGCCCCTCTTTGGGGCCCCCTTTTCTTGTTTTTTCCTTTGTGGCCGTTTCGGCCGAACAAAATGTTGAAATGAATTGTTAATAGATTTGTTAAAAGCTCCTGTCTTACCGAACAGAAACTGATTAGGGGCCCCGAGAGCAGGTAGCCTCGCATGCGTTGCTACGCATCCCACTGCGCTAAGCGTCTCTAGATACCCGTGTATGCAAACACATGCAAGCCCTCCATTCTGCATGCACCAACATTATAGACTATTGTTATATGCACACTTACAAGCCCCTTCTTCAGCAGCCTTCACGCAATCAGAAATACTTAGACCGAATAAAACCCTAAACAACAAAACGTGAATAACAATACTGCAAGGGAAAGCAGATGCAGTAGCGCCGTATATCTGAACTTGCAAGGCGGGTTTCTTGTTGCTTGGGAAGCTGGAGGCTGGGAAGCTGCCTACAATTGTCTACAGTTTCTGTGCATGCAGAAAACGGGGCTTTGTTGTGCTTGCATGCAAGGTTACCTCTCAGCATTAGTTGCAGGCGGCCCATACTGCTTCCTCTCTCCCCAAACTCTGTCTACTGAGCCACTGTGGTCAGAAGACCTGTAAGGGATTTGTATCTGCTTTCTATGAATTCTCATTTTAATTCCTTTGGCTTTAATGCAGCTTTTAACAGTCCTTAGGTAATATAGGGAGCTCCTCTTACGTACTCAGCTACCCTCTAGCAGTCTGATGTCTAGCGGTATCCAACTGTAGCAAACTGCAAGCAAATAATGTTAGCTAAGGCAACAAACACTATCAGGTTTTCTGCTTAGTTTGGAGAGTTTTGAAGTCTGGGGCTTAAGTTGGTTGGGTCTGGGCCTCTCAATGCTGAGGATGTTCATTGATTTTGCGGTGTATGTACACCTTGACTGTGCGAGGCAATCGAGAACCTCTTCTACAATGTTAAAGGCGGCGAAAGAGGCCCCCTCACAAGGGGAAGCTCTGTTGTTTCTCCCTTTATATTCGAATCAGTAATACAGATCGAGGCCTTGCGCAAGCCTTTAAGAAAGCAGTATAAATGTGTCCTGCTGCTGTTCATAAGCATCGCAGCAGCAGCAGGAGCAGCAGCAGCAACAATAACAACAAGAACAGTAATGTGAGGAATAGCAACAACAGCAGAAACAGCCGCAATACCTACAGCAAGGCCAACAGCAACAGCAGCAGCAGCAGCAGCAGCAGCAGGGCTGGGGCCCGCAGTGCCCTTGGGTAGAGGCCTTAGCGTTTGTTCCTGGGGCTTCTATGGGTTGTTAATTTGCTAAATTTGTATAAAATATACGTAATATTATTATATAAATGTTTAAGAACGTTTTTCTTCTTAAAGCTGCACATAACAGCCGCTCGAGCTGCTCCCAACTCCTCAGCAGAGGGGCCCCCTGTAGCCTTGCTTCATCTCTAAACCCTTAGGGGTTTTGTTTGGGAGCTCCTTCTGGGGTTTCATAGAATAAAAGGGATCATTTAAATAAGACGGAGGATTGCTAAGAGGGCCTTCAGCCCAGCGCAGCAGCCTGAGGCTCTCTCCCTGAAGCTGCTCCCCTTCATTGCAGCTTCCTGTTCCTGCTGATCTCGCTGCTGCCGTTACTGCTGTTGCTGCTGCTGCTGCAGGCCTTTAAGGCCTGCATTTTTTGATTTGGCTTCTCCCGCTGCTGCCCAGGGGCTGTTGCAGTAGCAACAGCCTGGGCGAGCCTCCTCCCTGTGACGAGCAGCAGCAGCAGCAAAAGCAGGAGGCACGCCGCTCACGGGCAGCAGCGGCAGAAGCAGCAGCGGCAGCAGCAGGAATAACAGGAGCAGCAGGAGCGCAAGACTGGTCTCATGTCGTGGGGAAGATGAGGGGCTTAAGGATCTTGTTGCTGCTGCATTTCCTGCTGCTGTTGGTGGCGCATGCAGCAGCAGCATCAGATGGATCTGAAGCGGAAGGGAGTATTGCAGCTGCATCTTCTTCAGTAGATGGAGACGATGGATTTGATGGAGAAGCAGGAGACAGCGATGTTGATGGCAGCAGCAGAGACACCCCGACTATGGAGACTGGGCAGCCTACGCTGCTGGACCTCATGCGTGCTGCCCGTCTTGAAAGAACTCTTATAAACAAGCCTAGAGGAAGAAAGACAGGCATTTCTGCTTATATTAATTCTACACAAATCATGGCTGTCATTGTCACTGTGATTGTCATCCTATATTGCATCCGGATACGCACCAGAAGATACACTCCAGATGTGCGACGAAGCTGTGGTTTAGGGTTTAGGGTTTTGGGGCTTAGTATAGGCTTTATTGTTTAAGAATCAAGAATTAAGACACCTGCTGTCACAGAGGCTTCAGCAGCTTCTCTTGTTTACCGGTTCGGCTCCTGCAGCTCATCTGCAGTGTTCGTATGCTTACGCTGCATCTGCTCTGCTGCTGCTGCTGCTGTTGCTGCTGCCTCGCAGGAGCTAACGCTGAAGATGTCTCGCCAGGCACGATGGTTTAAGCGTAAGTGCAGGAGGGGGGCTTGTATCCGGGGTGTATATGGAGCTGGGCATGCATACACCTCAGCGTGCATGCAGACACTGGGTTGGGATGTACGTGCAGCATGTGATTGTGGCGGTGTCTGCTGCGCATGCATGCAGATACTGGGTTGGGGTGCGCGTGCAGCATGTTCTTGTGTCTGTGTCTGCTGCGCATGCATGCAGCGCGATATGCGGCGTACACTGCAACGGATGGGCATATCTACGCGGTTACGTTGGACTTCAGGGTGAGGCTCGCGCTGCATGCAGCCCCAAAGTTGGCTGCATAAACCCGCCTTATGCCGGAGCGCATGACTGTGCATGCATGTGCTCGTAGTGCGTGTGTAGTTATATTAATGCATATGTGCATATCGAGGTGTATGTGTACACGTACATATATATACATATATATATAATGTATTTGTAGACGTAGATATGTACTGTATATATATATATAGAGGATGTGCCTGAAGGCTTTCTCCGTGCCACAGTGTCTGAACAGCAGCAGAAGAAGCTTGAGTCTTCATCGTTGTTGTTGGGTTCGTCTCTTTGTAGCTCCCGAGGCGTTCGTCTCCTTTGGCTGGCGTTGCTTGTTGCAGTATAGGGGTTTAGGGTTTAGGGTTAAGGGTTTAGGGTTTGTGTGTCTGCAGGGTTTGGAGCGCGTGGTGCTGCCCAAGAGGTACTCACAGCAAGTAAGCAGTTGAGCTGTTTGCTGTTCTCCCCCACACACGCGCACAAACCCTAAACCCTAAACCCCTATACTGCAGTTCATCTTCTCTTCTGTCTCCCTTCGCCGTTTATTTTTTTTCTTCTGTCTCCTTCCGCTCTCTTCTGGTTCCCTCTGGCTGTCTCCTAGGAGTATTATTTGTTTTTTCTTGTGTCTTCTTTCGCTGTCTCTATGTCTGGAGTGCTGGTGGGGCGGTTGGTGTATGCGGAAGCAGCGCGTCGCTGTCTCTTATTTGCATTTCGTTTGTGCTTGCTGATGTGTCTCCCCCTTATCTGTCTCCTCCTTATCTGTCTCCTCCCTTGTGGGTTTTGGGGCTTTCTGCGTTGTTTTGTGTTGGGGGGTCTCCTCCCGTTTCTGCTATAGCTTCTCAGACCTTCCCTTTCTGGTGTTTGTTTGTGTCTTTGTCTCTGTCTCTTCGGCTTGTCTGTCTCCTGTGTTGCTCTGTCTCCTCTGTTGCTTTGTCTGTTGCTGTGCTGCTGTGGAGCTATGGAGACTCTGTTTTGCATGCAAGGCTTTTGCGGCTGCAGGAAAAGGAAAATTTAATTGGTTTGTTTGAGCGCGC